TCATATATATACATACATATATATATATATACACTGCTCAAATAAGAACTATTTGGTAAGTCATTTAATAAAATACTCATTTTCAATAAAGGTAAACCTAAATCACATGATAATGACACATCAATTCACATTTAGGATGTACACACATATATAAACATATATACAAATATATAATGTGGGGAAATTATCACAATATAATTTTTCATTCACTCAGTCAGAAAGCAAAGTGGAGAAGGAGGGCTACTAAAACAGCTAGTGAGACAGGTCAAATAATAAAAGTAGAGAAAAACAAAAAGCCCAAGCTTCTATTCTCTATACTTCAATTAAGTATTCAAGGTAAGTAAACTAATATAAAACTATGTATTTCAACTTTCACAGTTTGGCCTTATTTAAGTCATTGATTATTTGAATTTGTTGTTGTTGATAAGTTCCATCAAGTGGACTACAACCTGTAGTAACCTTATGAACAACCGATCTGAACCTTGCCGTTTTGCTCCATCCTCATGATTTCTGCGATGCTCTAGCCCACTGAACTTGTTATGTACCATCAAGTTGCCTGAAACTTGCAGCGACCTTATGTACAATAGCTCTGAAGCCCCACTGACTCTGACACACCTACCCCCATTGCCCTAGTTACTGTATCAATTCATCTCATGCGGGGAGGTCTTCCTCTTCCGCACTGTCTCTTGAGCATGATGTTCTTCTCCAAGTATCGGTCCCTCCTGGCCACATGCTCAAAGTATATGAGATGAAGCTTCAGAATCCTAGCTTCCAAGGAGAAACGTGGTTTCACCCTCTCCAAGACAGGCCTATTTGTTTTCTTGGCAGTCTATGTTCAAGGCTCTTCTCCAGCAACACAACTCAAAGGCATCAAATCCTCTTCCATCATCCTTAGTTATTATCCAACTCTCTAATGTATAGCAAGTAATTGCAAAGACCATGGAGTGGATCAGGTGCACCTTAGTCACTAGGCTAACATCATTGCCTCTCAGTACTCTGGAGCGGTCCCGGACAGCAGATTTACCTAATGTAATTCACCTTTTGATTTCCTGACTGCTGATGCCTAAAGTGTTGATAGTAAAACTTAGGTGACGTCTTTCACCTCTTGAGGCACAGGTTCCTCAAATGTAAAGTGAATAGACTTGTTTCCATAATATTTGCAATAGAGAAATAGAATTATGGTACTTTATGTATGTACCTTTACTCCTTTTAACAAAGGAGCCTACTCTACCCCTCAAATTCCACATCTATTTAACTAAACTAATTCAAATATCCTTATCCACCTCCTCACCACATAAGCAGCTCTGTAAAGGCAATTTTACTTCTGGGCAAAATACATAAAAGGTACCTTAAATCTAAAACCCTAAAGCCTTCTTAAAGACAAAAAAACAGCTTAGCTTAACTAGTAAAGAATGTCTGTTATGAGCACCACATCCTTTTAAGATCTTTCTACATGAGATCCATTTTCAGCTCAAATGGGTTTTGCAGATTACTTTGACCAATTTTTAACAACTTATATAATTA